TTTAACAAAAACATCTAAAACAAAATAAAGAAACATTGTTCACCACACAAAATAAAATACTATTTATTGACTGTAGATTGAGCAGTGGTATTTTCTTGAATTTCAAAACTTTTTAGAGGCATTTTATGCGCTACCTTACAATGGTATTTTTGTTAATTTCGGCACTTTTTATGGCATTTTACGTGTTGCCTCCCAAAATTCTACTCACCGGCTTGCATTGCACTATTTGTTCTCTCATAAAAAAACCTTTTTCACATGCAATGTTTTACAAATATTATACTTTTATCCTTATTTTTTGGATTTTGGAGTAAAATTTATAACATGATTATTTAAAAAAAATAAATAAATTGGTATAATTGATTTTTAGAATTGTTTAATTATAGTAGCATGATATATATATATATATATATATGTATAATTTGTAACTATACTTTTTAGATTAAAATTTTATTTAAGATAATCTATCTCAATTTTTAGAAAAAAATAATTTTTAAAATAGTTAGTTGATAATTAAAAGTCAGACGAAAAAAAGAAGAAGTAATTGCTATGTGTGCAAGGCCTGTGTAGAGGGATTGACCATGTATAGCTTAGAAATAAACAATTATTTAAGAAAAATGAGAGGAATTTACGTGTTTTATTTGGTTATTATTTATATAATCAAATTTATCAAAAATAATTTTTTAATATGTTTATTTCAATCTATAAATTTCAAATTTATTTAATATATTTATTATAAGTTTATTTTTTTAATGTATTTTTTTATACTTTTCGGACTCTAAACTTACTTAGTATATTTATAATGTATATAAAAACCAAGGAATCATTGGTTTTTATGAAAATCAATTATGCAAGTATCAGAATACTAAGTATTTACTATTTATTTGTTTTTAAACATTTTAAATAAAGTTCTTTCAAATTAAATATATTTAATTATATTTTTATATAACTATTCAATGATTCAAAATATAATTTTTTTAATTTTAATATTATTGATTTTTTTTGTGAATAAATATATAACAATCAAATGTAAATACTTTTAAAAAAAATAATATTCTTATCAATATCGAATAAAATCAAATTTAATTAATTAATTGATTTATTTTTATGTCGGCTTTTACATTAATTGTTACTTTATTTTTATTTTTTTGACATAATCTTATGAAATTCTAATGCTTTTTTATTATATATTTTGTATTGAATTCTTTATTTATTTAAGAATCATGGATATAGAATAATTAATCATTTTTAAGTAAAAAAATTATGAAAGATATAAAGAAAAAAATGTTTAAATATAAAATTTTGATTAAAATATTATAAAATTAGATTTTTTTATTTTATATATTTTTATAAACTTACAATATAACTAGGGGTGTTCACTATTCGGTTAAAACCGAAATACCGAACCAAACCGAACCAAATTAACAATTTCGATTTGTTTTTTAAAAAAAAAGTTAAAAAAAAAACAAAACCGAAAATCGAAATTATTTCGGTTCGGTTCGGTTTTTTTTTTCAAATTCGGTTTCCACCAAAAACCGAATTAGTTTTTTTTTTTAACACATACTCAAACTCTTTTTTTAAAAAAAAAAAAATCAAAGAGGCACCTATGGGTTTAACTAAAAGAACAATAGCTTTAATGATTTTTTTTCTACTTAAAATAGAAATATTTTTCATTAATTATTTATTGAAATAAAAAATAATTGATTATATTATATTGACTCACAAAAAATAAAAAAAAAGACTATGATAAAGAAATTCTTTATGAAAACATAAATTTATAGGTGAATCCTAAAACCTTATGAAAAAAAATTATCTCGCTTGTATTAAAATTGGCACAAACATAAATTAAAAATTAAATTTTTCATATTATATATTCAAAAATAAAATATGCACAAAATAAATAGATTAAAAAAAGAATATAAAAAATTAATAAAAAACCAATTATAGCGTGATTGAAAAAATAATGAGAAGCCCAACTAATTTAGTTTATAATATAAATAGAAACATATTTATTATAGAAAAATAATAATAATCAACATAATTTTCTTATAACATCAAATGTGAAATATGCAATCTTTGATTATGCAAGTTTGATATTTTTTTTAAAGTAAAATAATTCGATTTTTTGAAGAAAAATGCAAAAAAAAAAAAATCGGTTTTTAACTGAAAACCGAAAAATCGAATCGAAAAAATTTGATTTTTAACGGAAAAACTGAACAATAATTCAGTTCGATTTTAATTTTTTTAGCCAATTTTGTTGACCAAAAACAAAAAAAAACATCAAAACCGAACCGAAAAAATGAACCAACACCTCTAAATATAACACCAATCATTAAATTTAAATAATTTAATATATTTTTTCCAATTTGTAATATCACGCAGATAAAATTTTAGTACTTGTCCACGTATGTATATCATCAATCTAGATTCTTGAAAGATAAAGTAACAGAACGCTTACTGACAGTGAAGTGACGCAAAAGACAACGTCAGTACTGGTTCATGACTAGAAAGGACCCAGTAGACACGCGTCACTTTGGCTCCTGAGACCGGCAAGAGGCGAGAATCAAGGAGACCGATACACGTGTAGGGTCTGTTGGAAATTCCACGTGAGCCATTGGTGTACAAGCTGTTGATTGTGATGACGGGCTCCACCTGGCCAACTGGTATCTATGGTTTGCGTAAAAATAGTACGAAGGCAATCATATTCTCTTTTATCATCTCCAGTCCCCAAAGAGATTATATGATTTGATGGCGACGTCTACTAAGTGTAGGCCCTGTAGGGTCTCTTCAAGGCCTTCACCTACACCATCACCTTTGGCCCTTAACCTTATTATTCAAGCTAAAAACACCAAACCACTCCTAACTTTAATTGGAAATTCGATTATTAAATTTTAAATTTGTATTTTGAAACTTTTGAGTTTTATTTTATTTTTAAAATTTAATCTATCTTATAATTTTTAACTATCATTTCTCTTTTCTGAAAAAAAAATATTTTTTTTGATATTTTTATTTAAAATTTTGCACAAAAGTTGGGAAAAAAAAATCAATCCTTTTTCTATAAAAATTTCAAAATTTTCAAGTTTAGAAATGATATATTTTTTTATTTTTTAAATATTAAAATGTAGAAAATAAAAAAATAAAAAATAACCCAGATTGATTCCAATTTTTTTGAAGAACTCCAAATAAATATTTTTGAATAATTTTCATCATATAGCTATTTATGTAATTGTTATTTGTTTAGGATAAATAAAAATTCAGAAAAAAACTATTCCTTCTAACTATTTATTTATATACAGTAAGTATACACTGCTACTTTCAATTTTTTATTTTACCTGGCCCGTTTCAAAAATTGGGCTGTTGCCATATCGCTGATAGCTCGTGCCTTGAGCAAATCTTCTTTTGCTAAGCATCTTTGTGAATGGAATGTAGTTTGTGAATTGTGATTAAAACCATTTTTAGTGATGTTATTCTGCGGTTTGGGGTGTTTAAATTTGATAAAAACCCTTTTTTTAGCTTTCATTTTAGGTGGTATTATTAGTACATCGACCACATGATTAGTCCATTTATGTGGCTTTCGTTTTTACCTTCCCCATTTCACTATGAATGGGTAGGACGATGAAAGAATCAGAATTAATTCAGAATTCAATCCGACTTAAATGTAATTAAATAAAGTTAGTATAAAAATTTTATGTTTCCAATTTGATTATAATTCAAATATGTTAATCTGTTACTAAATATATTAAATTTATATCTATCTCAATTCGATTTGATAAAAATAAATTTTAAATTAATATTAATCTTATTTATACTAAATACAATATTTCAAAAATATATAAAAAAAAGTTACATGTAAAAAAATATATATATATATATATATATAGCACTAGTTTTAGATTTAGGGTTTATTTATTCGACATGCTAAATAGCATTATATATTTATGTTTCTTTTTCTCTATATTAATATCTATTTTTTCAAACAATCACATGATGAGTTTTTTTCATCATTTTTCATGTCTCAACTTAATTGTGTAAAAAATCCTGTAAATATATGAAAAAAATAATTTTTAATTCATACATCTTGATCCAATCTGAATTTCTATACATTTCAAACTTATTTTTTTATATATAAAACATTATAATTTTCCTTTATGCCAATCAAGCTTTTTTGTACTTCTTTATTAATTTAAATTAATCTTGATATTTAATATAAATTTTTATTAGAATTACTTGATTTTATTTTTTAATCGTGAGAAATTTTGATTTTTTTTAAACAAATGACATATGAAATATTATTACAACATATTTTTTTCATACATGCAATGGTTGAAATTTATTTCACATTTAAGCATAATTTTAAATGTAGCTAGCATTTTTTTATAAAAAAATTGAATATTAAATTTAGTTGATATTCGAATCCGATATGAGTAATTATTATTGATAATTAAAAAAATTCCGTCTAAATTCACAAGATCTAATTTAATTTATTTTATTAAACAAATTGAATATTGATCAATTTTGATCCGGTTTGAATCAAACATGTTGTATGTAAATGGGGAAGTGAGGAATTGATGATGGAGCCTAGATATCTATCACTAACGTAACTTTGTAGAGGAAAGGGTTAAAACTATCAGGCCATTAGCTTACTAATTAGCCTCTCTGAATTTAAAACTCTTGCAAAAAACCCGATCTTCTTAAAACTATCAATCGGATTGCCATGGGCCCAAAAAGCCCAGTCTCCGTCCTCAATGAAGAAAAAAAATTATACAAATCTTCGAAGAGTTAATTAAATACGCCATCTAATTACTCTGAACCAGTCAAGCCCACCATTTCCCTCCATCTAACACGCACCAATGAACACCCTCCATTTTTCAAATCCCACCTCTTCAAGAAGCCAACTTTTCAGACCGAGACACTGTAAAATCCAAATCTTTTTTATTTTTTATTTTTTGATGAATTAAAACCCAAACGCATCCCTTTAGAACCGGAAAAGAAAAAGGGAAAAAATGAAGCAAAACAGAGTCACTTTAGTTCTGGTGAATCTGGCAGGGATCATGGAGAGAGCAGATGAATCATTGCTACCCGGTGTATATAAAGAAGTAGGTGCTGCCTTACACACGGACCCAACTGGACTTGGGTCCTTGACTTTGTTTAGGTCTATAGTGCAGTCCTCTTGCTATCCTATAGCTGCTTATTTAGCCGTCCGGCATAACCGGGCCCATGTCATAGCTCTTGGTGCCTTTCTTTGGGCTGCTGCTACTTTTCTTGTTGCCTTCTCCTCCACTTTCTTTCAGGTAATCCCAAAAAAAAAAGAAAAAAAGAAAAAAAAAGTACCCTGTTGCTTCTTCATTCGTTTGTTTTATGATTTTTTATGATTTTTTTTTGTGACTTTTGAGCTTTCCAACCCATGAGTTACGATTTGGTGGGTTTCCAGTTGGATTGTTAAGTTTGGAATTAATTGAACTATTTTTTTAGATACAGTTATTAGTTGATTGACTGTCTTGCATTATACTGGTTGAATATGCTTCGCTAGTATAAAACTGCTTGTAAAAAATGATGTTGCTATATATATATCAAATTGAGCTTACAACGGAAGAATACAAGAATATTCTTAGTAGGTACTGATTTATTCTATGCTAGACTGCTAGTAGTTGACACCTACCCACGGCGTAAAGAACAAGACTTGTTGGCAGTTGATGAAAATTTCTAGAATGAAATTTGAAAATCTATCAGGTACAGCTAAATCCGAGCGAATTCTATTCGGTCCGGCTGATAATGGATGGAGGACTGGATTTTTTAATATTCATTTTTTTTCTTTAAGCCCGATTCCTTGTTCTGTCTGATTAATATGTAACCTATGGAAATAGGAGAAGAAGAGAAACTAAAGAAGCCTCAAATATTTAACAGAGGTATAAGTAGCAGGTCATGGATATCTTAAGTCAGATGAAGTGCTAAATTTATTACTGTATGAACAATAAGAAGTTTACTTGTCACTTGATTTTTTTTTTTTTTTTAAATGGAAGTCACAGTAGCCTGTCAAGATGGGATTGTGAAATCTGTGTAATCACTGAGAAAAAAAAATGTTGCCAACAAAGCTTGAAGTGCCTAAATCCAGAACAACTCAAAATAGAGTACTTCCAGTTCATGTGTTTGAGAATTCTTGAATAACTTTTGGTAGGTAATTACCAAGAAAAGTACAGTAGTCACTCAGCTTTTCAAACAGGTGGCTGTATCTAGGGCTTTGAACGGCGTTGGCCTCGCTATTGCTGCACCTGCAATTCAGTCCCTCGTCGCTGATTCAACAGATGATAGCAATCGTGGTACAGCCTTTGGATGGCTACAACTAACATCCAACTTTGGTTCAATCATCGGTGGACTCTGTTCAGTGTTGATAGCTCCAGTAACATTCATGGGAATCCCCGGGTGGAGGGTTGCATTCCATATTGTTGGCATCATTAGTGTTGTGGTGGGTGTGCTAGTTTACCTGTTTGCCAATGATCCACACTTTTCAGATGCTGATAAGAAAGCTAGCAGTGGAGATTCAAGTAACTCCTTCAGGTCAGGGGTGAAGGACCTGTTTCGTGAAGCCAAGTCAGTTATTAAGATTCCATCTTTCCAGATTATTGTGGCTCAGGGTGTCACCGGTTCATTCCCTTGGTCAGCTTTGGCATTCGCACCTATGTGGTTAGAGCTTATTGGTTTCTCTCATGAGAAAACTGCATTCCTCGTAGCCTTGTTTGTCATTGCTAGTTCCTTTGGGGGCTTGTTTGGAGGCAAAATGGGGGATTTCCTTTCTGTGCGTCACCCAAATTCTGGTAGGATAGTTCTAGCACAAATAAGCTCTGCATCAGCCATCCCTCTGGCAGCACTGCTTCTTTTGGTTTTACCCGACGATCCATCAACAGCAATCCTGCATGGAACTGTCTTGGTCATAATGGGATTATGCATATCTTGGAATGCTTCAGCTACAAACAAGTAAACTCTCTCAAACTCCTTTTTTATTATTTGCATCTGCTGCAATAAATTTTCGAAATATTAATGTACAGTTAATCAAATAAAGCCATAAGACGGTGTTCAATTGATAGCCAAAGCATTTGAAAGAACAAGTTCGTCAATATTAATGTACTATATGTGGAAACTAGGTGATTAGGACAAATCAATAGATTTCAACACGCACAGACTATATTACAGCATTTGTTAGTTACTATTGCAAATTCTTAATGGTTATTCTATGCCCATGCAGTCCAATTTTTGCTGAAATAGTTCCCAGGAGATCTCGAACAAGTGTATATGCTATGGATCGATCCTTTGAGTCCATACTATCATCATTTGCTCCCCCGGTGGTTGGAATACTTGCTCAACATGTTTATGGCTATAAACCCCTTCCTTCTGGATCCAGTGAATCTGAAGAGATTGCTGCAGATAGAGAGAATGCTGCATCACTGGCCAGAGCTTTGTACACATCGATAGGTGTTCCAATGGCTCTGTGCTGTCTCATCTACTTATTCCTCTATGGTACCTACCCAAGAGACAGAGAGCGGGCTCAGATGGAAGTGCTGATAGAGTCAGAGATGCAACAATTGATGTCTGATAATAATTCGGCCAGAGTTGGAGATTATTCTCAAGTTCATTTCTTTGAAGCAGAAGAATCATCTGATAAGGACAGAAGTGTTATTGAAATGGATTATGGAGGAGGGGGTGGTCTTGATCTCGATGAAAGTGATGGGAAGACATTACTCTACGGTCAGCTGTCATTCGCCAATTTAGGTGAATAATGGAAGATTGGTTTTGATCTTGTTGATAACCGACAATGACGAGAAACCAGTTAATATTCTGCTTGCATGAGCGAGTGTTAACCAAGCTGAAGCTGACTTTTTCTCCAATAGTTGCTCCGCGCTAATAATGCATTTTAGGAGAACTTCAAATCTCTCACTCAGAAATTAATCTTGGTGAGATTTTGATGAATATGATGACACGCAAAGCACATTATTATTATAAGGTATACTAAACGAAAACGAAAACAACTGCAGCATTTTACTGTATATTAACTGTTCACCTTTTTTTTTTTTTTTCCCCTCCCCAAGCCTATTTTGCTTTTAGTTTTTTTTTTCCTTCCTCTTCTTCGGCCAAGGCCTTTTTTGGCTTTTCATAAACTTTATTTTTAGTTTTAATCAGATATATTAAAAGAATACAAAAAACCACTGAAGCATTTTACTGTTCGGTAACTGTCTGTCTTTTTTTTTTTTTCCTCCTTGCCAAGCCTCTTTTGCCTTTAGTTTTTTTTTTTTTTGGTTCCCTTCTTCATCGGCCAAGGCCTCTTTTGGCTTTTCATAAACTTTATTTTTAGTTTTAGCCCTTATTTTATAACTTTTTTTGTTATTAAAATGTTATTAAATTTGATTTTTATCTCTATAATCATTGTTTATTAAATATTTAATATTTTTTCTCTCTTCTTCCGCTAAGGCCTCTTTTGGTTTTTAGTAAATTTTATTTTTATTTTAGTCCTTGTTTTGTAATTTTTTTCTTTTGATCATTCAAAGTTTATTATTTTTTATTTTTTTCCCTATAAGAAATATTAAAATTTTATTATTTTTTATTTTGTCCCTATAATAAATATTTTTTCTTTGCTTGTAGTAAAAATATATATTTTTTCTATTTTGTGATATGTTTTTATTTTGGTAATTAAAGCTTTATCATATTTGATTTTTATTCTTACTATATTAAAACTAAATAAAGTTTCACTATCTTAAACTTTTTTTCTTTATTGAAACTTTTCTTTCTATTATAACTCCTTTTTTGTGATTGTTTTTTTTTTTTTTTGTTCGGTTATTAAATTTAGTAGAATTTTATTTTTGTTTGAGTCCCTATTTTGTAATTGTTTTTTATTTTGATCATTAAATTTTTATTATATTTGATTTTTTTCCTATAAGGAACTATTTTTTACTTTTAGTAAAACTTTTTGTTATGTTTTGATTTTTATTTTAATCATTGAACTTTTATTATATTTGATTATTATTTTTTCTATACTAAAATTAAATATAGTTTAACTATTCTAATTTTTTTTTTGGCTTTTAGTAAAAAACATTTTTCTATTTTGGTTCTTATTTTGTGATTTTTTATTATTATTAAAATTCTACCATGTTTGACTTTTATTCCTATCTCTATGCATAGTGAAATTTTTTAGTCTTATTGTTTATAAGTGTTTTTTTTTTTAGCTTTTAGTGAAAGTTTTTATTTATTTATTTTGATCCTCTTTTTTTATGATATTTACTTTGTTTTGATCATTTAATTTTTATCATCTGTAATTTTATCTCTATTTTTTTTTTTATCAAATTCTTGATTTAAATAAGTTTTTTGGACTTTTTGTTTTGGATAGTCTCTCTATCTCATTAACAAATTACAGATGAAAAATATATGATAAAAATTAATCATCTAAAATTTAAAAAACTACCACATTATTATTTTAGTTACGAGCTATTATACACATTTCTAATAAAATACATATTTATACGAAACAATATCTAATTAGTAATTTTATATTACTTAACTTTATAGATTTTTAGTTTAGCTAATCCTTATAATAAAATATGAAAAATAGGTTTTGATTTCTTTTTTATATTTTTTCATGTGATTCTTTTTTGAATAATTAGTTTTGAATTTTATATTTTATATGAATGAATATATAATAATGTTGTATAATTTGTCTTACGGCAACACGCCAGAAGCGTTCTAGTTAGACTACTATAAAGTGTAGACTGGACAGAAGCCACACAAATATGCCTCCAGCCAGAAGTTAAGATTTGGAAATACGAGGCCCCTTGGGAAGGGCGTACACCTTGTTGGATAGATCGAGTTTTCCGTGCCTTGTTTTGCCCACCAACTTATAATTGTAGTTCCATTTGTTAAGATCTTTTTTTTTCTTTTTTCGGGTGATATGTGGATGTTGAACTTCAAAGAGCACTCTGCACCATTGCACAATCGTCATTGGATTGTGCATATGACATAAACATGAAATCATGCAAAGCCACGCCACGGTTTTAAAATTTAAAGCCATAAAGCATTGGCTGGTCATATGCGTACATTATGCCTAAATCGAGTACAGTGTGACTGGAACTCGTTGCTTCCTTTTGAAATGGCTTTAAAGTCTCGACCATCTACGCAATAATGTAGGCTCCAACTTCTTTTACCTTTACGTATATTTAATGACATCCTTGCCATCTAGAGCATGCAGAAATGGAACAGATATTTTCGTATATAAATACAAGCTTTTTAACCCTTTATATCTCCTTTCTTTCTTTTCTAAGAATAGCATTACTAAAATGATTTAAAATAACATATCGTCATGCACCTTTTCAATACAAAGTATATCACCTTATATAGGAGATACAAACCAATCAAGAAGGGAATTAAAGTAGAAAGTGGCGCTGTAAACAACATAATTTGAGAGGAAGGATGAGAGTAGCATGGGAATCTTAGCTGGGTTTTGTTGCAGAAAACATCACAAATTGCCTATTTCTTGTACATGTAAAATCAACTAGTCCACAGGCTCTACAGACGTCTTCTAGTTCACGTTCAGATAGGAAGAAGTTGCTGCCAGATACTTGTGTGAGTCTCTACAATCAGAGACAAATAAATAGTCCATCAACCATATATAGCTTAAAGAAGACAAAAAAATGATTCTTGAAATAGACAAAAAAATGATGTTTGAAATAGTGTCCTTCAAGCAAAGCTTGTTGGACAAACTTTTACAACCTTTGGTATGAGGTTATTCCCATGAATACAGAAATGCCATTGAACTGAATGAGCATGTTGAACCAAAGTCCTTGTGCATTGCCTTTCAAGTTCCTAGTGGTTACTTATTTTTTGTCACTAATTTTTTGTGCTTTATCTTACTAAGACATAGTGCTATATGATGCATGGCAGAGAAAGGGATGAATAAAACACTACCGTGACAAATTGATTTCTACTGAAATTCGTTAACCAAAGCTCTACTTCTTTTCCTAATTTATATGTCCAAAAAAGAGCATGCTGTCTAAAGTCCTCGAGTATGGTCAAGTATAGCAGTTCCAAGGTCCAACTGAACCACATACCTGGCTTATAGGCTTCAAAAATGGGATGAAACTGAAAGGCCCATCAAGTATGTAGGTGGTACCGACAAACACTCCTCCAGGTCTCAATACTCTACTTACTTCAGCTACCTGCAAAAGAATAGCTACCACATCATGGAGATCTTATGCTGGTAAACTTAAGCAAAAGTGGAATCATGTAAAGCAAACTTGTAAAAGAAGCAGGTAGCAAAGCAAATAATGATGTGCAACACACATCTCAGATGTGGATCATGGAAAGAAAACACGAAATGAGATATCTTTTTACAAATTAAGAGGTCTGTTCATGATACAGAATGAAAAGAAACCTAATGCAATTCTTCATCTTTTGGAAGATCTGTTATTATTGTTACCAATTGAAAGTTTTTCATGTTGATATATCTTCTAACTTTCAGAATCCAACACCCTATGTTAATCAGGAAACCGCAATCAAGTTCGCTAGCATTAGGTACATTCATAGTAGGTCATAACATAATCATGTTTCTGATATGCTGACATTAACCACTACATCAGCACTTAAAAGAAGCCATCCAATTCTATTCAGGGGTCAAGAGATGACTATGTTCAGAATGAAAGAGCATCCTAAGGTTCCACGGATGACTTACTAGCATTTCATGAGGCATTGAGTCCAAAATTGAATTTTCCATGAAAGCAATGAAATAGTGCACTTTTCATAAGCAGAATATTATATTTTATATGCAAGGGAAAGGGGAAAAATATAATGTTTCGCTACAGATGCCAAATCTATAGCCAAATAGTCATTGTCTCAAGCCCTCAAGTACATAAATTATTACCATAAAATCACGAGAAAGAAAAAGAGAAGGAATGGCCAAAAATAGAAATGACAAGATTTTTGCAGTAGAGATTGTCCATCGGGGCCTTTCAAAGGGGCAAGACATTGTAACAGTATCTTGTCGTAAGGCCAGCATTAGACAAATTGTGGAACAGGTAGCCAAAGTTTTAACAAAAAGCAAGCAAAAGAACTGTTATGCAGACATCAAAGTGTGGAAGCTTGAGATTCATAACTGCCTAATCCTTTGAGCAGTAAGACTCATGGCTTCCCCCTCCAGTCTCGTCTTTACACGCCATTCAAAACCATGGTCATTAATTGCCCATACACAGTAATATGAGGATCTAATGCCTAAAGAAAAATTAGTTTAAAATACTACAGGTTAGGAAAAGCTTACAGCCGCTGATGGTGAAGGCCAACAGTGTATAGCAGCACCAGCATGGACAGCATCAAGAGAACCAGAAACGAAAGGAAGTCTAGCTATATCAGCTCTGACCAATATTAAGTTCCTAAAGGGATCAAATACAATCATAGTCCCTGATCAAAATATTAATTTCAAAAAGAAATCTAAACCAATTAGATATAGTCTCAAATCAAGTAATCTTTAAGCCAAAACTAGTTGAGCAGAAGATGTCTCAAATTTTATTATTAAAGGAAACCCCAAATATATTCAGCAGAAACAGCAAATGATATATCATCTATAAATTTCGCTGATCTATTGAGAAGAATTCAAATCATCCAATGGAAAAACAAACACAGTTAGTAGAAAGGTTTGGTTCATACTCTTTTGGAAAGTCTCTCCTGCTTGACGAATTCATAGCACTGTTGCAGCATGTTTTCTGAGTAGTCCAGAGCCATAACAAGAGAAAACAGCCCACTCTTGGCGAACAGTCTTGAAAATAAACCACTACCGCAACTAGCATCTAGAATATTGCCACCTAAAACTGGATTGAGGTAATCCTTCATCATTTCAAACTGCAGTCCAGATAACTTTGAGTTTACATCGTTGCCACACAAATAATATTTCCAACTGAATAAACATATTTCCTGCAAACATTTTCAATAAAAAGACTGTTCTGTTACCTCTTTCTCTGGGCCTGGAAAACCACCCCATACAAAATTTTGACGCCAACCTCTCTCATAAAGGAATGATATGAATGGAGTTCTGATTCAGAAAAACAAGACGAAGACAGAACCAAAATTGTAATGTTCGGCATCAACACTGATCATGCGTGATAGCATGAAATATATCAGGGTGATGACTATATATTCTGACAGTAATTTGTATCCATACAATGCCATGGCAGCCAAACTACCCCACAATTTCATGAAAAAAATTCCATGCTCTATCTAGGCAACAGATGCCAAAATAACCAAATTTTTCCAAACAAGTTCCAGAATAGGTTGTCTAGAGTTGCAAATAGAATCAGCATAACAGCTTATATAGCCAAAATTAAACAAGTTCAGATTAGTTGCGGGGCTCAACAAACACCAATCCCTTCAAAATGAAATTTACAATCACAATATTGGGGCACCATATCTAGGGGACGCAATAAATAAATAAAAATACCAAGCTCAAAGTTTAGTAAAAAGCAACTTCACCCTTTTCTTCTGCATGACAGAACAGATGGTTTAAAAAGACTACTTAGCCATCATGGAGGTGATTGCTAGTTTTGGGAAAATAAAAAACATCATTGTAAAGCATGATGGGTCTGAATCAATCCAATATATATTAATCGCTATATATTAATCACTATAGTTGATAATTGGCCATCTCCTGTATTTGAATTGGCCCAAGATGGACCCAAATCTTCTTACATGTACTCTACAACAGTCGTAGTGTGAACATGTATAAGCATTATCCGAGTCCCAAATTTGCAATAAGCATAATTTCCACAAACACTAAATCATGAATATTGCAATATATTTTATAGAAACCTGAAAAATTCTGTGGCCATAGGCATAGCATCATCATATTCCTTAGCCCCACTAGCTACCGTTAATTCAAGATGTGTTTCCTTGCCAGAGTAAGTCTTCTTGCAGGTGCTGCACTGCAAACTAGATGCGCGAGCAGATTCTCTGTACCAAATCCAACCATTACAAACATAAAACAAGAGAGTCTCAATGATTCCATTTCAAAAGCAATAACAATTTCTGCATACAATTTCGAAAGTAACTTACACAGATAAGACGTTTGCACCAATCAAAGTTACGGGCTCGTAACATATGGGACAGGCTAGGATGTTCTTGCTGCTACCGACATCCTTTTCAACCACCACAGTATCCTAAATCAAGAACAAATACAAAATTTATATACATATATCAATTTAAGAACAATCCGTGACTAATCATTCAAGATTAATAACCTATAATGATCTCAATTCTCAAACATCAACTCATGAACAGCAAAAAAGAAAACGGACAGAGCCTGTAACTTTTGCTTTCACTTCAATTCCCTCTCATTTATATTCGCAATCAAACACATAAATTAAAGGAAATACTTGTAATCACAATAAAAACTGATTTAAAAGCGCAATTATGCATTAAAAAAAATAAGAATCTGGACGTAATCATTGAAATTTGAAAAAGTCAAAAAAAGGAAAAGCAGACCGTTGGCCTGGTATCGGCAAAGGCAGTGGAAGAAGCGCGAATTTTTGCCGCGAAACTGGGGCGTTTAAAGGTCGGGGTGCAACTCGGCTTGGATTGAACTCGACTCCAGTTGCTGAGTTGACTCGGGAGAAACGCGGACGAGAGGTTGCTAATGGTCGAGGAGGCCATGGTTTCTTTCTGTTTCTTTGTTTCTGAGCAGAAAGAGTGTCGTAGTTGAGGAATTATATGGGATTCACCCAAATAAAAAAATTTTAAAAAAATAATAAATAAGAGAAGATTAATGATATGGGACACAGAAGTTCAACTAAAACAGACAAACACAAGAGGGTGAGTGCCTTATATTATGCTGCAATGCCGGCGGCATGATACCATTGGCTTACCAGCCAGAAGATACAATACAAACTACTACGAAGCAAATGAGATTACAATACTTGCTTCTAGATAGACGCGTGTTGCGGGTTTGGTCTGGTATTTGACAATTTTTTTTTTAATCTTGAGATTAATATTTAAAAGAATTTATGAAATTTATAATTATTTATAAAGACGCAAACTTTATATCGAACTATTTCTTTCATTTAAAATATCCTTAAATTTCTATTAACTTATTAACTGAAATTGGATTTTAATACCTATTTTTAATTATTAGTAGTTTTCTTTTTTTGTATAAAGCTATTTATTAGTATTTGTATTTCATTTTTTTGCAATTAGCCACCATTAATCGATTATTATAATCTCTTTAAATTTCCAGTCTTTGTTTTGAGTTTTTTCTGAAATTTGTATGTCCTTTTCTATAATCAGCCACCATTAATCAGTTATTGATTTTTATATAATTTTCTATTTTTCTCTCGAGTTTTTCCAAAAAAGAAATTTATTTTTCTTTCCAAAAAGTTAATTATTAGTAGTTTTATTATTTTGGGATGATTACTAAAAAGACCTTTTAAAAAATACATTTAATTAGATTTCAAAATGTGTTGTGATTAGAATAGGTGTTGTACTAGTGAGAGAGTTGGCAGTCAGCCTATTTGTAATCATGTTCCTATTTTTGAAAAGTTTTTTATTACAGGTTATATAATACATTTAATTATAAGCCCAACGAATATCAATTGGAGTTTGATGATGTAAATTTTAATGCAGATTTAGAGTCTTTAAAGATTTATGGACTATTTTGTTCATTGTGATAAGAGTGATAAAAAATCTGAGATTGTCACGAAGACGATGAGGTGGTTGGTTTAATTTAAATTGAAAGGAATAATTTTTTTGTGATTAAATAATATGTAAGATACTTTTATAGCAAATAGTATAATGTATATTAAAAATTGGTTTCATATGAAAATGGAGTCAAGAGATAGATTTATTTCTTTATAATATAGACATTAAAAAAAATACCAAGAGGAAGTGGTTGACAGAAACAATGATCCCAAATCCTACTAAAATCGAAGATGCATCTGTTTATCTTCAAATCCGAGGGAGAAAAAATGAAGATTTCTTTCATATTAATCCCAAAATTGCCATACTTGATATAAGTGAGGATTCGGGTCAATTGAGAAATTAGAAGACATATATAATCTCGCTAAAGCTGAGGAGCATGTTAAAGAAGCTTTTGATATCTCACATACGGGTCAAGAAATCAAGAAAAAAATTAATCACGGTTTCTAATTCTAATGCTGGCTCCATGGACCAGGAAATTAAGGAAAAGTCAACAAGTGAGATAATCTTGTTGGAAAGAAAATTTTTGAAAGGGTTGACATGTATCCTTATCAAATTTAATGATACTAATAAACAGACGAAGCAAGCTAGCTGCTTGGAAATAAGTGGGTATTGCAACTACGTTCAAAATACTTTTTCGTTTACGTGGGAGAGTTTAAATTGAAAGTGAATTTGATGATGAGTTTTTTGTTTTTTCCCTTCAAGTGAGAGAGCTGGACGTGTAAAAAGATTACAATAAAAATTTCATTCTGCATATAAATATTTTTATTGTAGCCTTTTTTTAATTGTTAAATTTTCTTAAAATTTATTATTTTTTATTTAATTACGTAAGTGTTATTAGAAAATTAGTGCTATAGGATTCGATTTTTATTTTATTTTTTATTTAATATTATTATGGTTTTCTAGTTTTTTTATTGAAGATTTATAACAGTTTTTAGCAATTAAATAAAAGACTTTGATGAATAAAATTTGAGGTATTAGAGTTTTTTCTACAATTTTATTGTGTTTTTTTATAAGAATTTCTGAACACTAACAAATTTTATAATTTTTCATTATATACTGCGTTGATGCAGATAATGTGGTTTTAAAATAATAATAATAAATTAATCTCGATTCTCATATAAATCAAAATAATTTAAAAACCTCCCTTATCATCCAATAAAAAGAAAAGGTAAGATGAACGCGTGTTTTATGCTGGTAAAAAACAACTATATCTTTAAGGATCTTTTGGTGCTATAGTGGCAAGGGAAGCATTTTAAACCAAAACCTGATGGGCCTCTATAGATATTTGAGATTATGAAAGTCCGTTGTTCTTCCCTTGGTGTATGATATACTTTTCTGGGCACTCATTTATTGAAAGGAAAAAAACAAAAACAAAAAAGGTTATGTAATTTTGCTACTAAAATCATTTGGTAATTAATTGTAACAAGGAACTACCTAGCTTCCAATATCGTTTACATTATATATTTTTTTCATTCCAATATATATATATATATATATATATGTTACAAAAAAAATAAAAATATAAAAATTAAATAATTAGCTTTTTAAAAGAAAACAGATTAGTTAAATTCATTTCTCAAACCTAAAAAAAATTTAATTTATAATTTACTCCAATATAAGTAAAAGAAGAAAAAATTGCAAATTAGATCATTGCTACTTTCTTTGTCTCTCATGTCAGACACACGGGATGCCTTGAGTTATATAATAAAGTTAATTCTCCTCCAGCCTATGCTTCCTAAGGTTTAAACCTAATATTTTCAAGAAAAATCGAGCTTTAGGTCCTTAGGAGAGAAATTACATAATTGCTGGTGAGTAAATTATTAAAAGCATATTTGGTCTTATTATGTTTATAAGTAAAGCATACATTTTAACTGATCATTAAAGGAGGCATGTTTATCTAATTTTCAACTTTAACTTGCTTTTTTATATAAAGAGATTATATGCTTTTATCAAACAAATTCTATTTTCATAAATTGGATAAAAAAATTACTTTACCTGTAAGCATAACAGAGCCAAACATAATGTAATCGTTGTAGAATTTTAAAATTTCGATAGAAACACCGCGGGAACGTCATCTTGTATTTTGTACAGCTAAATAAAATTTGTTGCGACCAACGTAAATCCTGTAATGCCAAGCAACGTCCAGGACATTGTCTTTTTCTGTTGGAAGAAGGTCGAAAACGAGAACGGCTAAACGTGTCTTATTATTTGCCTGAAAAATTCAAACATTGCTTCATTTGTTGTGATGGGATTGAAAAGTGTTGGAATCAGGTTGGTGGAGTCTGGGCTGGGTAAGGATAAAAAGTTGGGCAGAGTTTTGAGGCCCAGAATCGCGTACAAGGTAGCTCCTGTCTGACAGTGTCCTCCAGATTCTCGATTTTTTTAGCTGTTGTGGGGACCATGGGCTGGTTCCTTCTTGTTTTTGCCCCTTTTGAATTAAACATAACTTTCTACGTATCCTCATTTAGTTTATCAAAAGTGATTAATTAGTCAACACATTATCAAAATAACAAATGATCCCTGCATCAATGTTGGTAATTCTTAATTTGATTTTTCTAACATGTGTCTTAAAGAAACAAGTCAATCAATATAAATCGAATATTTTAATTGTTCTATTCGATAGTGTTAAATTATGAATTAGAATTTTAATCGATTATAGAAATGAATCTATTTAACTATAAAAGTGAAACCTTCTTTTTTTATCTTGATTATGAAAGATAAATTAAATATGTCCAAGCATACAAACGTAATAAAAATTAATATCATACATACTTTCGATCATAATTGATTAAGTGTTTAAAAACTGTTCTAGAAAAATTTGTACTCCTAGAAAGAGAAAGTCTTTTAGCCTATGTCAATACATTAGGATTTTCTAAGCGTTGATAAATGACATATGACTTAACTTAATATTTATATGTTTATATGGTTAGATGTACTAGTTTTTAGCCTAATTTTACACTTACATTCATAATGAATGTACCTAGTTCACCACTAAGAGTGATTTTAAACCTTTAATTATCATTTATTGATTTAAAACATCAATGACACATGAGCCATATAAAGTCTTACGTACTTGGTCCATATGATACTACCTAAAAGAAATGATAGTTCCTTTATGGAGTCTAAAAAAATTCATAAATCGATATATTCACGTTTAGATTAAGAATACAATATGTGGATTAAAGAAACCATACTTTACAATTAAGCACTTTCTTTCATGTATTACAATACATTGCATCATTAAAATTAGTAATTAATGAGTAAGTAAATTTTATGTATAAGCTTTCAATAATTCATTCGGGTCTAACTCGTATATATCTCAACGAATATATAAAATAATACTTTATGTGTATAAAAAATCACATCAATCTATAAGAAAAACATAAAAATATATAAACAATCAATAAAAAATATATAGTCAAACATCAAATGGGTTAGCTATATGTATACGATCAACGTAATCTCTATACCGTTTTACCGATAATGATCTTTCAATAATTCATTCGAGTCTAACTTTATATATCCCATTGGATATAAAAAATAATACTTTATGTTCATTAAAATCACATCAATATTTAAAAATAACACAAAAATATATAGACAATCAATCAAAGGAAAATACACCAACATCAAATTGGTTAGCTATATCCATACGATCCGGAGTGATCTCCATACTTGTTTTGTTGGCAGTGCTTTATTCATGAGATCCGCAACCATTAGCTAAAGGCTAAAATGTTCAATGAATACTTCATGTTCCTTCACTTTCTCTCTCGAAATGAAATGTTTTAACTTGATATGTTTGTTTTATCTTCCATTCTTATTATTCTTAGAGAAAAAATTGCAACCAATTTATCACAATAAATCTTTATTGATCTTAATATGAAATCGATAACTTTTAGACTAGAAATAAAATTCCTTAAACAAATAGTTTATGTCGTTGCTTCATATCATGTAATAAC